ACAGACAGACAGACAGACAGACAGACAGACAGACAGACAGACAGACAGACAGACAAACCTCCATCTCTAGCTGTGACAGTGACGGGGTTGGACCACAGATCACCCACACCTCCACGTGAGCCATCAGTTTAAAGGTCATCAGACGATGAGGGACCTGAGACACGGGGAAATTATATGTTATTTATACACTGTGTAGTGTTTGATGGAAAAAATTATACATTATTTATATATATAATATATAAACTGCGTTGTGCTTGATCAGGGAAATTATATGTTATTTATACACTGTGTAGTGTTTGATGGAGGAAATTATACATTATTTATATATATAATATATAAACTGCGTTGTGCTCGATCAGGGAATTTATACGTTATAGTATACACTGCGTGGTGCTTGGACAGGGAATTTATATGTTTAATTGTAAGTAATTTATACACCAAAAACACAAAGAATTTATACATCATAGAGAGACTCTGGACAGTTCATGGGATGGAGGAATTCATACATTATACACTTATGATACATGTAGCTATTTCAATAGATCAAAGGACATAATCATTATTATCTGTCTATTTACACAATTCATGTATCTGTCTGTGCAAAAGTTACAAATCTATCTATCTATATATCTATCCATCCATCCATCCATCCATCCATCCATCCATCCATCCATCCATCCATCCGTCCGTCCGTCTGTCATTTTTTTTTCCTCCTCCTCCCCCACAGTCCAATGTTTCCTTACCACTACCAAACCCTTTCCCTACCAGTATAGGCCTACTTGCAAATCCTCAAACTCTCCTTCTCATTCTCATTCCCCAACCCCCCCCCCCTCTTCTCCCCTGCCTTCCCTCTCTCTACTTCTCACTACAATCACTGCTACATCCCCCCGCATAAAAAATAAACAAACACACAAACAAACAAATACACAAACAAACATTCAAACAGACAGACAAACGAACTACCGTAGGACTCTTGTCGGGCAGATAGATGGGCACATCCCTGCAGGAGCATGGAGAGAAAGAAAGGCCCAGGAGTGAGAGAAGGACGAGTTCGGTGGCGGAGAGGTCCCACCACTTGGCTGTAGCACCCACCAGCCGCCCATGAGATAGGAGACAGCCGTACGGAGTGTCCGCAGCTTCTACAAAAGCCTCCAGGAAGTTCTGGGGGTACAGACGGGCACAGCATTTAGTATACAGCATATTAAACTACAGCATACAGCAATGTATACAGCAACAGCACTTACAAACAGCAACAATTATAACAACAGCATACAGCAACAACATTGACCAACAGCAACAATTATAACAACGGCATTCATTGACAGCAACAGCTTAAAGTATACAGCAACAGCATCAATAAGTAACAACATCAGTGACGATGGTGGCAATAATAATAATGATAATGACAGTATAATAATAACGATAATAATAATAATAATAA